CACCAGTTGACTGATTTCTTGAACCGGAACATTCAAATTAACGAATCAACTAGTCCTTCTTCAGAAACCGATCTTGAATAAGTAATAGTTTTTAGAAGAAAACTATTGATTATTCAATTGTACTTCATTTATATTTGTTTCTTTGAATTAAGTAGCTATCAAGACTCAGTAGCTAAGTGGAAAATACGATGGCATTTGAAGCGAACGGTACTGGGTTCGAGTCCTAGGGTGGACATCAACTCTGAGGTGCAGGTACATCAAACTGACGAGTCTCAAATACGACGAAATGCGTATCCTGAATTCCACTGCTAGTCACTATCCATCTTTGCATTTAAGTAGAATATACTTTTTTTGTTTACATTTGAGTTTGTACTCATTTCCGACGAATTATTTTAATACTTAACTCTAAATAGGTAAACAATAGTCTATACTTTGTTTATCAACTTATAACTTACTTTATAAAATTACATCAAAAATGATCCCACTCAAGTAAATAAACAATACAGAATTAGTTTTTTTGGATTCTTTATGTTTACTTAATGAAGAAGTAACAGATCAGTAAACACTAACGTGTAAGTACAATTACCATTATTCTTATTATGTTAATGATCAATACAACATTAAGTTCATCCTAGACATTAAATTCCCTCTATTTATAAATGATCAATGTATAGTATAAATTTACATAATACTATTACAGTAATATGCATGTTTGAAAGAAGAAAAAAGACCCATCTGAACATTAAAAATGTTTTTCGATGTAGTGAACCGTTTGCTTTTCATTCTGCTTGGAACCCTATGGATGATATATCAGGTAATTTAAATCATTATCGTTTCATTAAAATATACCATACTTATAACAACTATTTATAATTATATTATTATTGACAATACGACTAAGTCGAATCATTTGTTGACAATTACTTACTGTACTTACTTACGCCTGTTACATCTCATGGAGAATCATTAACCGCCCACCAGCACTCTCCATAAAACCCTGTCCTGGATAATCCTTTCCAGTTCTTTGCAGTTGTTATTCATCCTTTTCATATCTGCTTCCAATTCTCGACGCAGTGTATTCTTTGGCCTTTCACTTTACCGTTTCTCTTTAGGATTCCAAGTTAGGGCTTGTCTCATCATGCTGATTGGTGATTTCCATAATATGTGTCCTATCTACATCCAACGTCTTTTCCTAATTTCCTCTTCACCTGAAAACTGGTTTGTTCTCTCCCACAGGAGGTTGTTGCTGATTGTATCCGGCCAATGGATGTTGAGTATCTTGAGTAGATAACTATTTATAAATACTTGATGATGGTTGTAGTAGTTCTCCAACTTTGATTTCCGTACAGTAAAACTTTCTTGACGTTCTTATTAGTTATATGAGACTATTATTTGTGATTAAACAACTCATTAAATTAAGATAGTATTTGAAAACAAGACAGTGATTGTTGTTGTCTTACAGATATTTATCACAGAGAAAGATTGTATGACCTTTTTTAGTGTTATCGGTAACTAGAATTAGAATGAGGACAAGACTTTATGGTAGTGTATGAAATCGACACACCAATAGTTTGATAAGTTATCTTATTTTTCTAAATTTGTCTTTAAAGTTAATTGGTAGTGAGTACGGTTTGTAATACGAACACATAAAATTTTGTGTATGTAAACCCTGATCTCATTTTCTATATCGAACCAAAAGCATATGGATCATTTGTTTTCTAGATACTATTCAATGTTTTTTTTGTTTTCAAAGTGTCTGGCAAAAGAAAAAATATTCAGTTCTAAACTACTTGTAGATATATTTTGATTGAGATCATGAACCGATTGATGTTAGACCACCATTGAAAACCTGGAAGCACTGGACGGCCATTTCGTCCTATTGTGTGACTCCTCAGCAGTGCGCATCCACGATCCTGCCCTCAGGATTCGAACCCAGGGCCTTCAGTCTCGCACAGTTAGACATTAACACCATTGGATGCCGGCTCAGTGGTCCAGTAAGTCAAGCGTTCGCCCTAAACTGATACTTGTAGATAGTTGATGTGTCTTGATATACATGAAGCTTCGTTTCAATAATTCAAACCTCATCTACTAATTTAAAATACAGAAACAACAATACAACATAACATATAACTTCAATCTGTACAATATCAGTAGTTGATTTAAGATTATGTTGTTTAATGAAGCATGATATAGACTTCTTTTTTGAAATATGTCTTATTAAGATCAAAATTATCATGAATTGATACCGTGAATCGTATGATTTCCATTACATATATAGTTGAATTTCTTTATGGAACATTAATGTGACTATCGTACTTGACCTTAACTATTCATTAAGTAAAACATTTTATAATAAAAAAATTCCCAACATATTTGATATTTTCTATGGCAACTATTCTTTCTGATATTCAGCCATAGAAGTAACATTCACTATATATTGTGTACACCCCATTAAAGTTAATGAACTGATTCAAAAGCACAATGATTTTCTGAAGTCCATATTACGCTCTATTCTAAACAGGTAAACTGACATTCATTTTTTTATTGAAATCATGAACCGATTGATGTTAGACCACCACTGGAAATCTGCAGGACCTGGACGGCCGTTTCATCCTATTATGGGATTCCTCAGCACTGCACATCCATGATCCCACTCGCGGGACTCGAACCCAGGGCCTCCGGTCTCGCGCGCGAACGCTTAACCAACTGGACCACTGAGCCGACACCCAGTGGTGATAGTGTCTAACATCAACCAATCCACAAAATTGCGCTACCAACTTCCATTGTACTGAGGTAGATACCTGTCTCTACCCGACAAGGATTAGCTCCACTGGTCACAGTATCTACCTCAGTACAACGGAAGTTGATCGCGCAATTTCGTGAATTGGTTGATGTTGGAAACTATCACCACTGGATGCCGGTTCAGTGGTCCAGTTGATTAAGTGTTCGTGCGCGAGACCGAAGGCCCTGGGTTCGAGTCCCGCGAGCGGGATCGTGCATGCGCACTGCTGAGGAGTCACACAATAGGATGAAACGGCCGTCCAGTGCTTCCAGGTTTTCAATCGTGGTGGTCTAACATCAATCGGTTCATGATCTCAATCAAAAACTTAACAATCTCCACAAGCCCTAAACTGATAACATTCATTTATTCGGCTTTTGATGGTTTTCATATAAAGAAGTGTTATTAAGCTGCTTGATCATGGTTTGAAATACCTATTTCATTGTTAAAGCCAATCAGGTATAGGTATTGAAAAATGAACGGCTTAATAGAGCATTCTATAATGGTGAAATTAATCGGTCAGTTGTTCCGGAATCAACTTTTTTTCTTAATTTGTTCTATGATTTATTACCGACTGCATTCATACCTTTATTTATTCTAATTTCTATTAACAGTTATACAATAAACAAACGTAAGTCTAATTCAATCAAATGTGTACATAATAAATCTTTATACACAAATGGATAGACGATGACTGAAATAATTTAAATAGTGAAATTTCTTGAAGGCAAAGATTTATAATTTTTCACTCTTCAATGCATATAATCACCGCCTTCTTGCGATGGGTGTGTTGTTTAAGAAAAGCCAATATCCGGCGCTTTGAACGGGTTGGTAGACACGGAGAGTCCACCTAGGGGAGTTGAAAAACATTGATTACAAACCAATGGTGCACATGGGCCCCAGTATCCTGAAAGAATAAATGGTGCATGAACCAATCGTTGGTCACCAACTACTGTGGGATTTCATTTCTGACGTTGCTCCACTACCTTGTAGATTAGATATTTAGGTCAAATGCCCCGGGTTTGGCCTCCTTAGAAAACGACCTGCTTCGGTTTGGGCACCCAGGCAGTATCTCAGCACTCACACAAATTGAATAATTTAAATGCCACATATCTATTTGGTGCTTCCTTGTGAAAATATTTATATGCTTAAATAAATAAATAATGAATTATGCCTAACAAGGGCAAAAAGGAACGAAAATCACAATCCAAATTACAAGCTTTTAAATAAAGTTTATCTTCATTCATTTTTAATGGCACTTTCAATCTTCATATTGATGTCTATAAATTTAATAATTCACTCTCATTTGACCTTTATAGATCCTATTCAGATAAGCTTGATAATGCATATAAGTCAATAATATATATATTCCTTCCAGAGTTCATGTACTATCTATGACTTCAACATAGTACCAAAGTATTACATCAGCAAACTTAGCAAAAGCTGAAATTAGGCGAAGAGATATCATTCATCTCTAATTCATGTGCGTAAAAAAATCGTGAAATCACAAATACGGTTGGTTGAGGTCAGTAGGTGATGAGAACGACGAATATAATTTCTAACAATAAACGTCAATTACCAATCAATATATCGAATTAATCATCCAGGTATATAAAACAAATTAGGACCAACATATTAGACAGACAAAGTCAAGTTAATTTATGATTGGGGAAAAAGCTTCAAATTACATTATATTCATTGCATTCTGACTAATTGTATTTGTCTCTGATAGTCAGGTTTGCAAATTATATGCACTCATAAATTCAAAAGAGGTTCAGGAGACTAGTGGGAATTACAAATCACATTCATATGTACAGTATTCGCTCAATGAGTGAAACCATCAAAGTTAGTGTCTGCAAACACAAGCGTTTAGCTCTAGCGACGTTCGGAACAATTCACCACAATACTTAGATACAAATGATGAGCAAAATCTATCATTTACAACCCTAAACAACAAACACATTCATGAACGTTTCATAAACAAACTAAGTGAAATAGTGTATTATTCATGTGTGGTTTTAGCCAACTAATTTATTTCGGTTGGTATATGACACATTTCAGTAGTATTATTTACTATCAAGTATAAAAAGATGCTTTGAATTTGTTTGATTACACAAATGGTTTGACTTCGCTTCGTTTCAGAACACAGACAACTCATTCACCAACTGATCACATCAGTACTGAACGAATTGTTAGTAAGACAGAGAATGTCACTCACCCAATGTTCACTGTAGAAGACGTCCACAGAATTGCAAATGAAACAAGAAGTAAGCTGATCTATTGGTATTACTGAATGAGAATAAGATTTTCTTTATCTATAGAAACCTTATAAGTAAATGTATAAACCTCTGTGAATACCGACGTGTTGAGAGTATTTGTACAGCTTGTTAACTGAATGAATATCGATTTGTCAAACTGATTCTACTAGATAAACTACTAAATGAATGAATGAATGCATAATAGGGCGAGACTATAATTCATGAACGAAGTAATGAGGTTTAAGATAGGAGATGAGGGATTTTGGCGCAAAATTCACTCATCAATTTTTTGGCTAAATTATGTTTTGGCATTATAGCTCACTTGAGTTAGTGATGAAAACGCGAAATCTAATTCCTAACCTTAATCATCAACTGTAAATCATAAGTCTCATTCCTCACACTGGTTCATAAACTCATTTGTTCCTGGTTATGAGGTGGGCACTCTCAATGTCCCTCTAGCGTCGCTCAAACGTCGTCACTAAATTATAGTATCAAACACAATACTATCAAAATTTAACATGCTGATTATTTTCATTCTTGTAGAAACCACGTTGAAGATAGTTCAGGTAAACTAAATTGTTTTTATCAAATTTTAATTTGTTTCACGTATGATTGTTGTAAAACTGAATACATAGTTTAGTCGGAAATCTAGTTCCACTGCCAAACGTGCAGGTCAGCTATAATCAACAATTCTGTGTGTTTGTCTAACAATCTCAACATGGTGCACGCAATGTTGAGTGAGCTAGACTGGTAGACAAATTGCCACTTGGTCGATATGTTTCGATCGGCACAAAGGCGGACCTGACTTGCATGACATTGATCACCAACCAGTGATCAATCAATTGTACACTTTACATAGCTTATCTGTGAGAGTTAATAGTATGTTGTCTGTAGATATTTGTTGACAGAATTTAATCCTATAATATTATGATTTTGATTGACGAATCAATAATCTGGATTAGGTATGTGCTATTGCAAGATTAATGTTAGACGTGACATTCACTGAAAACAAACATAGATACTGACTGATAAGCAAATATACCTTGCTGATAATTTCTTTGCTGAACTAAACAACAGTATTTCTCCTCTTATCTTTAGAAGCTTCTAATAATGCAAACAGAATACAACGGTGTTCAGTTTCACTTGGTGATGAAGAGATGTAGTTGTAAACTGATCAAAATTTGACGATTGGTCTTGATAAATCCGAATCCTTATTTCATCGTTTTACAATGCATATTTATTATTTATTTGAGCACATGAACATTGGTAGAAGGAAGCACGGAATGGATATGCGACACATAATTCGTCTGATTTATGTGATGGCTCGGTCAGTGATTGAGTGCGGAAGCTGAATTAGGTGGATTTCTTAGTGGAGCACGCCCGTCACCTTCGACTTAATTGTCTGATCCACAAGGCAGTGGAGTAACGTCAATAGATGCTGTTACATGATAGCCAGTTACGAACGTTTGTTTCACATGGCCTTTGTTCCTTCAATATATTGGAGCCAATGTGCACCAATAATTTGGAATCAGTGTTATTCAACTCCCCTAGGTGAATTCTCCGTATCCACCAACCCTGTTAATGCGCAGGTCATTGACATTTTCTCCTCTCCATTTTGTTTTGAACAGTATTGCCGCGAGCAGGCAGTGTGTGAAACTTCCCTGTTGATGGTTGCTTGTACGTGACCATGTGAGGGTATATCAAAAGGTGGAGAGAGAGAGTGTGTGTGTGTGGACTCTCCTAACTCTCTGCCGCAACACGGCACTTGCGGATACGTATTGGTAGAGAAAGTTGAAGAATCAGTAGTTAAGATTATCGATTAGGAGATTAGTTCAGTTTCAACGTGGATAACGTGTTCCATCAAATTATGTGAATATTCTATTATCAATGAATAATTTATGCAGTGAATCCATATATTTATTTATATTTATTCATTAACAATCAAATATTCCACCATACTTTTCATTCACAGTCATCTGATAAACAACGGTAAGTATAACTGTATCAAACAAAACAAAGATGTCCTGACGAATGTTTATGTTCAGTCAATGAACTGATTAATAGTATGTAGCTTCAAGATTGTTAAATTATATTGAGATCACAAATGAAGATTTAACGGACAACAACTGGAGAAATGGAATCAGTGGAAGGTCGTTTTCTCTTAGAATAGAACTACTCAGCAGGGTTCATCCATGATCATGCAAAAGAGATTCGAGCTGAAAACGTACGATGTGGAATGTGAAAGCTCTGTTCTGTACCACCTGATCACTATTAGATGACATGCAATTTCAAATATCACCGTTTCACAATGTTGTGTGATTATGATGATTAGGAGAATTTGAATGATAGTAAGAACTAAACATTACAGAACTAACTTAATCAGATCAAGAATTAGTAGATAAGCACAAACGAGTGTACTGTATTTGGAATTCGAAATCAAGCATTCAACAATTACAAATGAATCATTGGTTCATTCAAATACCACATCTGCCACAGCTTGAATTAGAATCTAAGTGTTTGTAATCGATTGTACGTCTTCTTATGTTCATCCTGTGTCTGTCCGACATTGTATTGGATAAAACTCTGTATTATCTATAATGTGCTCATTAGTATTGGAATAATAACCGAAATTGGAACAGATTCACTTGGTTCCTTGGATTGTATACAATCACCGTTTCGGTTGTGTATCGAAACCATTATCTAGAATTTAAACCACAGATTTCTCAACACTATCCTCCCTCACGAAATAATGTTGGATCTTCATATCCCCATGTTATGAATGATGTGGTTTCGTTTAATACATATTTCTCACATTGACTACAGTAAACATTAGAAGTGACTTCGTGATAAGGATAAACAGCAATTGATATGAAATCATAGAAATTGTAATCAAACTCCAGCTCATTTAGCACTTGTGCCCTGCACTGAACAAGGTTCCCACAAGAAACAAATGCATTATGAGGACATATAATATTTGATAGAACATCAAGATTTGATTCTTCTGAAATAGCTTCCTCAAATTTATTAAGAATGTGATTGCAGAGTAAAAGGATCATTAGGAAAATCAGCATCCATCAAAACTACATCGGGTTTTCGATCATGACTAGGTTCATTCAACATACTTTCCTCAGATTTGCTAGGAATTTCGTCAGAAATATCTGAATCATTAGGAGAAACCATATCTGGTACAATAACATGAGAAATCTGACAAGTTGATTAATTAGAAACTGTTGTCTCACAAGAATTCTGAGTTTCATTTAACTCTGAACTGATATATGACTCTACACTGTCATTTGAAATCGTTGATAAAGATGAATGATCATTATAAATACTCAACTAAATAGAATCAGAACTACATGACTTAATATTAGTTGCAGCAAGATGAACAGTAGTAGTACAAACTGACTGAATATGTCCAATATCACCACATTTAAAGCACTTACAATTACGAAATTTACATGAACTAAAAGAGTGGAACCTGTCACAGGACAAACATTGACCAAACTTGTGCCGATCTTCGTGAACTCTATCGCAACTCCTCAATGAATTGTTATCTGCATAGCCTTGAGTATGCACTGGGTTGGGATAACGTAGTAATGTAGTGGACTTTTTTATATCCTCATGAATCATTTTACAAAATCTTCCTCCTCTACCACATTCGAAATTTGTATACTTAACATAGTCTAGCAGTAGATCCTCGACAGTTGTGAAAGAAAGCGAAATGCGCTTATCCGGTAAATCTAGAGTTTTAAGTGAGCTATATGCTTCTTTTCCGATGAATCTGAAGAAATGTGCTACAGCATTAACATTTTCACCATGTTTCTTATTCATAGGCCAGATTACGAAACTTTCAAATTAATCCTCAAAAGTATCAAAATTTGAATGAACGTCCAACGGTGCAATCACAGGCCCAAACCCGAAGTCAATATGATGATAAGAAGTATATGAATAATAATACGAGCTGAGAATCCCAGAAATAATGTAAACGGTTTAGAAAGCATAAGATACACAAAATAAATGAAATAGTGTATTTGTTATGTGTGGTTTTAGCCAGCTAGTTTATTTCGGTTGGTATATGACACATTTCAGTAGTATTATTTACTATCAAGTATAAAAAGATGCTTTGAATTTGTTTGATTACACAAATGGTTTGACTTCGCTTCGTTTCAGAACACAGACAACTCATTCACCAACTGATCACATCAGTACTGAACGAATTGTTAGTAAGACAGAGAATGTCACTCACCCAATGTTCACTGTAGAAGATGTCCACAGAATAGCAAATGAAACAAGAAGTAAGCTGATCTATTGGTATTACTGAATAAGAATAAAAATTTCTCACCCATAATCTTTCGACATTTAACATGTTGATTATTTTAATTCTTGTAGAAACCACGTTGAAGATAGTTCAGGTAAACTAAATTGTTTTATCAAATTTTAATTTGTTTCACGTATGATTGTTGTAAAACTGAATAACATAGTTTAGTCGGAAATCTAGTTCCACTGCCAAAGCTGCAGGTCACCTATAATCAACAATTCTGTCCGTCTCTCTGTCTTACAGTCTCAACATGGTGCACGCAATGTTGAGTCAGCTAGACTGGTGGACAAATTACAACTTTGTCGATATGTTTCGATCGACACAATGGAGGATCTGATTTGCACGACATTGATCACCAACCATCAGTGGTCAATCAATTCTAAAATTTACATAGCTTATCTGTGAGAGTTAATAGTATGTTGTCTGTAGATATTTGTTGACAGAATTTAATCCTATAATATTATGATTTTGATTGACGAATCAATAATCTGGATTAGGTATGTGCTATTGCAAGATTAATGTTAGACGTGACATTCACTGAAAACAAACATAGATACTGACTGATAAGCAAATATACCTTGCTGATAATTTCTTTGCTGAACTAAACAACAGTATTTCTCCTCTTATCTTTAGAAGCTTCTAATAATGCAAACAGAATACAACGGTGTTCAGTTTCACTTGGTGATGAAGAGATGTAGTTGTAAACTGATCAAAATTTGACGATTGGTCTTGATAAATCCGAATCCTTATTTCATCGTTTTACAATGCATATTTATTATTTATTTGAGCACATGAACATTGGTAGAAGGAAGCACGGAATGGATATGCGACACATAATTCGTCTGATTTATGTGATGGCTCGGTCAGTGATTGAGTGCGGAAGCTGAATTAGGTGGATTTCTTAGTGGAGCACGCCCGTCACCTTCGACTTAATTGTCTGATCCACAAGGCAGTGGAGTAACGTCAATAGATGCTGTTACATGATAGCCAGTTACGAACGTTTGTTTCACATGGCCTTTGTTCCTTCAATATATTGGAGCCAATGTGCACCAATAATTTGGAATCAGTGTTATTCAACTCCCCTAGGTGAATTCTCCGTATCCACCAACCCTGTTAATGCGCAGGTCATTGACATTTTCTCCTCTCCATTTTGTTTTGAACAGTATTGCCGCGAGCAGGCAGTGTGTGAAACTTCCCTGTTGATGGTTGCTTGTACGTGACCATGTGAGGGTATATCAAAAGGTGGAGAGAGAGAGTGTGTGTGTGGACTCTCCTAACTCTCTGCCGCAACACGGCACTTGCGGATACGTATTGGTAGAGAAAGTTGAAGAATCAGTAGTTAAGATTATCGATTAGGAGATTAGTTCAGTTTCAACGTGGATAACGTGTTCCATCAAATTATGTGAATATTCTATTATCAATGAATAATTTATGCAGTGAATCCATATATTTATTTATATTTATTCATTAACAATCAAATATTCCACCATACTTTTCATTCACAGTCATCTGATAAACAACGGTAAGTATAACTGTATCAAACAAAACAAAGATGTCCTGACGAATGTTTATGTTCAGTCAATGAACTGATTAATAGTATGTAGCTTCAAGATTGTTAAATTATATTGAGATCACAAATGAAGATTTAACGGACAACAACTGGAGAAATGGAATCAGTGGAAGGTCGTTTTCTCTTAGAATAGAACTACTCAGCAGGGTTCATCCATGATCATGCAAAAGAGATTCGAGCTGAAAACGTACGATATGGAATGTGAAAGCTCTGTTCTGTACCACCTGATCACTATTAGATGACATGCAATTTCAAATATCACCGTTTCACAATGTTGTGTGATTATGATGATTAGGAGAATTTGAATGATAGTAAGAACTAAACATTACAGAACTAACTTAATCAGATCAAGAATTAGTAGATAAGCACAAACGAGTGTACTGTATTTGGAATTCGAAATCAAGCATTCAACAATTACAAATGAATCATTGGTTCATTCAAATACCACATCTGCCACAGCTTGAATTAGAATCTAAGTGTTTGTAATCGATTGTACGTCTTCTTATGTTCATCCTGTGTCTGTCCGACATTGTATTGGATAAAACTCTGTATTATCTATAATGTGCTCATTAGTATTGGAATAATAACCGAAATTGGAACAGATTCACTTGGTTCCTTGGATTGTATACAATCACCGTTTCGGTTGTGTATCGAAACCATTATCTAGAATTTAAACCACAGATTTCTCAACACTATCCTCCCTCACGAAATAATGTTGGATCTTCATATCCCCATGTTATGAATGATGTGGTTTCGTTTAAAACATATTTCTCACATTGACTACAGTAAACATTAGAAGTGACTTCGTGATAAGGATAAACAGCAATTGATATGAAATCATAGAAATTGTAATCAAACTCCAGCTCATTTAGCACTTGTGCCCTGCACTGAACAAGGTTCCCACAAGAAACAAATGCATTATGAGGACATATAATATTTGATAGAACATCAAGATTTGATTCTTCTGAAATAGCTTCCTCAAATTTATTAAGAATGTGATTGCAGAGTAAAAGGATCATTAGGAAAATCAGCATCCATCAAAACTACATCGGGTTTTCGATCATGACTAGGTTCATTCAACATACTTTCCTCAGATTTAGTAGGAATTTCGTCAGAAATATCTGAATCATTAGGAGAAACCATATCTGGTACAATAACATGAGAAATCTGACAAGTTGATTAATTAGAAACTGTTGTCTCACAAGAATTCTGAGTTTCATTTAACTCTGAACTGATATATGACTCTACACTGTCATTTGAAATCGTTGATAAAGATGAATGATCATTATAAATACTCAACTAAATAGAATCAGAACTACATGACTTAATATTAGTTGCAGCAAGATGAACAGTAGTAGTACAAACTGACTGAATATGTCCAATATCACCACATTTAAAGCACTTACAATTACGAAATTTACATGAACTAAAAGAGTGGAACCTGTCACAGGACAAACATTGACCAAACTTGTGCCGATCTTCGTGAACTCTATCGCAACTCCTCAATGAATTGTTATCTGCATAGCCTTGAGTATGCACTGGGTTGGGATAACGTAGTAATGTAGTGGACTTTTTTATATCCTCATGAATCATTTTACAAAATCTTCCTCCTCTACCACATTCGAAATTTGTATACTTAACATAGTCTAGCAGTAGATCCTCGACAGTTGTGAAAGAAAGCGAAATGGGCTTATCCGGTAAATCTAGAGTTTTAAGTGAGCTATATGCTTCTTTTCCGATGAATCTGAAGAAATGTGCTACAGCATTAACATTTTCACCATGTTTCTTATTCATAAGCCAGATTACGAAACTTTCAAATTAATCCTCAAAAGTATCAAAATTTGAATGAACGTCCAACGGTGCAATCACAGGCCCAAACCCGAAGTCAATATGATGATAAGAAGTATATGAATAATAATACGAGCTGAGAATCCCAGAAATAATGTAAACGGTTTAGAAAGCATAAGATACACAAAATAAATGAAATAGTGTATTTGTTATGTGTGGTTTTAGCCAGCTAATTTATTTCGGTTGGTATATGACACATTTCAGTAGTATTATTTACTATCAAGTATAAAAAGATGCTTTGAATTTGTTTGATTACACAAATGGTTTGACTTCGCTTCGTTTCAGAACACAGACAACTCATTCACCAACTGATCACATCAGTACTGAACGAATTGTTAGTAAGACAGAGAATGTCACTCACCCAATGTTCACTGTAGAAGACGTCCACAGAATTGCAAATGAAACAAGAAGTAAGCTGATCTATTGGTATTACTGAATAAGAATAAAAATTTCTCACCCATAATCTTTTCGACATTTAACATGTTGATTGTTTTAATTCTTGTAGAAACCACGTTGAAGATAGTTCAGGTAAACTAAATTGTTTTTATCAAATTTTAATTTGTTTCACGTATGATTGTTGTAAAACTGAATAACATAGTTTAGTCGGAAATCTAGTTCCACTGCCAAAGCTGCAGGTCACCTATAATCAACAATTCTGTCCGTCTCTCTGTCTTACAGTCTCAACATAGTGCACGCAATGTTGAGTCAGCTAGACTGGTGGACAAATTACAACTTTGTCGATATGTTTCGATCGACACAATGGAGGATCTGATTTGCACGACATTGATCACCAACCATCAGTGGTCAATCAATTCTAAAATTTACATAGCTTATCTGTGAGAGTTAATAGTATGTTGTCTGTAGATATTTGTTGACAGAATTTAATCCTATAATATTATGATTTTGATTGACGAATCAATAATCTGGATTAGGTATGTGCTATTGCAAGATTAATGTTAGACGTGACATTCACTGAAAACAAACATAGATACTGACTGATAAGCAAATATACCTTGCTGATAATTTCTTTGCTGAACTAAACAACAGTATTTCTCCTCTTATCTTTAGAAGCTTCTAATAATGCAAACAGAATACAACGGTGTTCAGTTTCACTTGGTGATGAAGAGATGTAGTTGTAAACTGATCAAAATTTGACGATTGGTCTTGATAAATCCGAATCCTTATTTCATCGTTTTACAATGCATATTTATTATTTATTTGAGCACATGAACATTGGTAGAAGGAAGCACGGAATGGATATGCGACACATAATTCGTCTGATTTATGTGATGGCTCGGTCAGTGATTGAGTGCGGAAGCTGAATTAGGTGGATTTCTTAGTGGAGCACGCCCGTCACCTTCGACTTAATTGTCTGATCCACAAGGCAGTGGAGTAACGTCAATAGATGCTGTTACATGATAGCCAGTTACGAACGTTTGTTTCACATGGCCTTTGTTCCTTCAATATATTGGAGCCAATGTGCACCAATAATTTGGAATCAGTGTTATTCAACTCTCCTAGGTGAATTCTCCGTATCCACCAACCCTGTTAATGCGCAGGTCATTGACATTTTCTCCTCTCCATTTTGTTATGAACAGTATTGCCGCGAGCAGGCAGTGTGTGAAACTTCCCTGTTGATGGTTGCTTGCACGTGACCATGTGAGGGTATATCAAAAGGTGGAGAGAGAGAGTGTGTGTGTGTGGACTCTCCTAACTCTCTGCCGCAACACGGCAATTGCGGATACGTATTGGTAGAGAAAGTTGAAGAATCAGTAGTTAAGATTATCGATTAGGAGATTAGTTCAGTTTCAACGTGGATAACGTGTTCCATCAAATTATGTGAATATTCTATTATCAATGAATAATTTATGCAGTGAATCCATATATTTATTTATATTTATTCATTAACAATCAAATATTCCACCATACTTTTCATTCACAGTCATCTGATAAACAACGGTAAGTATAACTGTATCAAACAAAACAAAGATGTCCTGACGAATGTTTATGTTCAGTCAATGAACTGATTAATAGTATGTAGCTTCAAGATTGTTAAATTATATTGAGATCACAAATGAAGATTTAACGGACGACAACTGGAGAAATGGAATCAGTGGAAGGTCGTTTTCTCTTAGAATAGAACTTCTCAGCAGGGTTCATCCATGATCTTGCAAAAGAGATTCGAGCTGAAAACGTACGATGTGGAATGTGAAAGCTCTGTTCTGTACCACCTGATCACTATTAGATGACATGCAATTCTTAATATCTCCAATCCACAATATTGTGTGATTATCTTTTATTGTATTTTGTGTGTGTATTTCTCTTGCCAACAAACTCGTGGTCTTATCACAATCCGAAATTCTTCACACCAATATATCGATACACACGATTTATTCGCTAGTGACAAACTGTAGAAGCAAACTTTTATAATTGTGGTGAGAAGTCGTTTTTATAGAGTCTAGTCATTCCAGGTGTGAGATAAATGTTCGTCTAAGATAAAGAGATATGTTTAGTAAGTATCGTGTATTAATTGCCGTCAGACTGACATCATCGAGTGGTGACTCAATGGTCTATATGTTGAGCATTGACATTCCAGATCGAAGGTATTTACTTCGACTCTGTTTGGCAGAGTCTTCAACGCACACCTCTGATTAATCTGGTATAAGATGAAGGGACATATCTCTCTTACGTACTTCATGTGGTAATACTATCGAGAAATAACAGATACTGTTGGTCCAAGCATTTCTCACAGGTTCCCCGTCATATTGCTTTCATCGGACAAAAACATTTTCGCTGAATTATCTCTATTCTGTTTCAATGACACAGTTGGTCCCTTTACTTACAAATCTAAAACTTCTCCACAAATGATATTACTTCCTATTACCTGACTTTCCGTTATCAATTCAGTTGAAAGTTGTTTAGAAAGAAGTCTTGAAATTGAAGGTTTAGTCTTAATATCAATACAACAGGAGATTTTGTGGATTTGAATGAAGCTATGCCATTGTGACCGATTTAGAAGTGTAATGGATGTGCACACATTGATGACTGGTAATAGGAATGTGCTTAACAACATGTGTGGATATTTGACATTCTGTTCACTCAAACTGGTCAGTGTAAATAGTTTTCAACAACACTTTCTTAAAGGTTTACTGTCAAATCATCGTTATTAGTTCAACTTACAAATAATTTCATTCATATTGTAGTGAACGAGAACACAAGTGGGCACAATCGAATGTATTTGAAGACACAAATTACGACTTGGTAAAAACTGAAAACCGCACAGTAAATACTTCATTTGCAAAATCTTAATCAATCGTCTCGAACATCTGTGTTTCTTTGCTTCCACTGCAATCATTCTCTGTTCTCGTTCTCCTTCTCCGATCTTCTCAATCATCTACCGGCAAACAATTCACTTTCGATTCATGATACATACTATGTATATTAGTCGACATCAGTAGCACACAACACAATATATCACAAGACTAACTTCTCAAAAATTTTGTAAGAGAAAAATGGAACCTACCAGTTCCCTTGTTATTGAGGAAAAATCTTCAAATTACATTATATTCATTGAAATCTGACTGTTTGTATTTGTTTCTGATTGTGAGGTTAGCAAATTATATGGATTGATATATTCAAAAGATGCTCAGTATACTAGTCGGAATTAGAAATCACATTCGTATGTACAATATTCGCTCAATGGGTGAAACCATCAAAGTTAGTGTCTGCAAACACAAACGTTTAGCTCTAGCGACGTTCGGGACAATTCATCACAATACTCTGATACAACCAATGAGCAAAATCTATCATTTACAACCCTAAACAACAAAGATTTTCAAGACCGTTTCATACACAAACCAAATGAAATAGTGTATTATTTATGTGTGGATTTAGCCAACTAATTTATTTCGGTTGGTATATGACACATTTCAGTAGTATTATTTACTATCAAGTATAAAAAGATGCTTTGAATTTGTTTGATTACACAAATGGTTTGACTTCGCTTCGTTTCAGAACACAGACAACTCATTCACCAACTGATCACATCAGTACTGAACGAATTGTTAGTAAGACAGAGAATGTCACTCACCCAATGTTCACTGTAGAAGATGTCCACAGAATAGCAAATGAAACAAGAAGTAAGCTGATCTATTGGTATTACTAAATGAGAATAAGATTTTCTTTATCTATAGAAATATTATAAGTAAATGTATAAACTTCTGTGAATACCGACGTGTTGAGAGTATTTGTAGAGCTTGTTACCTGAATGAATATCCATTAGTCAAACTGATTCTATTAGATAAACTACTAAATGAATGAATGAATGCATAATAGGGCGAGACTATAATTCATGAACGAAGTAATGATGTTTAAGATAGGAGATGAGGGATTTTGGCGCAAAATTCACTCATCGATTTTTTGGCTAAATTATGTTTTGGCATTATAGCTCACGTGAGTTAGTGATGAAAACGCGAAATCTAATTCCTAACCTTAATCATCAACTGTAAATCATAATTCTCATTCCTCACACTGGTTCATAAACTCATTTGTTCCTGGTTATGAGGTGGGCACTCTCAATGTCCCTCTAGCGTCGCTCAAACGTCCTCAGAAAATTATAGTATCAAACACAATACTTTCAACATTTAACATGCTGATTATTTTCATTCTTGTAGAAACCACGTTGAAGATAGTTCAGGTAAACTAAATTGTTTTATCAAATTTTAATTTGTTTCACGTATGATTGTTGTAAAACTGAATACATAGTTTAGTCGGAAACCTAGTTCCACTGCCAAAGCTGCAGGTCACCTATAATCAACAATTCTGTCCGTCTCTCTGTCTTACAGTCTCAACATGGTGCACGCAATGTTGAGTCAGCTAGACTGGTGGACAAATTACAACTTTGTCGATATGTTTCGATCGACACAATGGAGGATCTGATTTGCACGACATTGATCACCAACCATCAGTGGTCAATCAATTCTAAAATTTACATAGCTTATCTGTGAGAGTTAATAGTATGTTGTCTGTAGATATTTGTTGACAGAATTTAATCCTATAATATTATGATTTTGATTGACGAATCAATAATCTGGATTAGGTATGTGCTATTGCAAGATTAATGTTAGACGTGACATTCACTGAAAACAAACATAGATACTGACTGATAAGCAAATATACCTTGCTGATAATTTCTTTGCTGAACTAAACAACAGTATTTCTCCTCTTATCTTTAGAAGCTTCTAATAATGCAAACAGAATACAACGGTGTTCAGTTTCACTTGGTGATGAAGAGATGTAGTTGTAAACTGATCAAAATTTGACGATTGGTCTTGATAAATCCGAATCCTTATTTCATCGTTTTACAATGCATATTTATTATTTATTTGAGCACATGAACATTGGTAGAAGGAAGCACGGAATGGATATGCGACACATAATTCGTCTGATTTATGTGATGGCTCGGTCAGTGATTGAGTGCGGAAGCTGAATTAGGTGGATTTCTTAGTGGAGCACACTCGTCGCCGTTGACCTAAATGTCTAATCCAATGTGAATTAAATTATCCGAATGAGATGCATTTCCATGGTTGAGGCCGGCGAACCTTATTTTCATAATCCATTTGTTTCCATATTATCCTGGAGCGCTTTTGCACTATTTGTTCGTATTATGGACTGTCCAATTCTTCTAGCTCTGCGTTTGTGTGCATGAACCCGTTGAATGTGCCGTGCACTCGCTTTTCGTCCTCTCAATTTCGTTAACACCATTATGATCGCGAGCATTCAGTTAGTGTGTGCTAGGGTTAAATCTATCACGAGTTCACTTAATCTGTGAACGAGAATCATTACTCGGTGACCATAGACTAGTAAGCTAGCTATTGATGCGTTCCAGCCCCGCTAACTAGAGTAAGAATTCCAAGCTTGGAATGGGGAAGTATGTTCTGCAAATAGCCAGAAACGATCGATAACAACAAACACAATTTAAAACGTATATATACCGTACAAAACAGTCCATGGGTAACGTTACCAAATAGCATACTAAGAGACGCAACGGACCAATAGCATTTAAGATATTTCCCAGTGTGAAATACGATATGAAGGTGACAAGATCGCCTTTGGCGCGAAAATAAAGAAATTCAAATTTTCTAAATAAAATTACAAAATTAGGTCCTTTCCCAAGTGAGTTCTGGGGATCGAACGTATTCAACAGTGGGACTTCCCTGTCAGCGGTTGCTTGCACGTGACCATGTGAGAGTATATCAAGAGAGAGAGAGTTGACTCTCCCAAATCTCTGCCGCACCACGGCATTTACGGATACGTATTGGTAAATAAAGTTGAAGAATCAGTAGTTAAGATTATCGATTAGGAGATTAGTTCAGTTTCAACGTGGATAACGTGTTCCATCAAATTATGTGAATATTCTATTATCAATGAATAATTTATGCAGTGAATCCATATATTTATTTATATTTATTCATTAACAATCAAATATTCCACCATACTTTTCATTCACAGTCATCTGATAAACAACGGTAAGTATAACTGTATCAAACACAGATTTCTTGAATTATGTTTATGTTTATTAAATGAAATGGTTACTAGTATATGATACACCTGATTTATTCGCTCTTGAAAAACTTTAGAAGTGAACTTCTTTAATTCTGATGAGAAGCCGTGGATATACATTCTAGCTATGCCAGGTGTGATATAAATATCCGTCGATATCGGTATCGTGAATTGATTGCCTTTAGACTTTGATTTCATGTGATGTTTAGAGGCTGAGCATTCTCATTCCCGATCGACGGTACTCACTTCGACTCTCTTTGGCAGAATCGTAAATTGAATTCCTTCTGTGTATGTGTAACAGCTTAGATTGGTTGGTTAAGAGTTGACCTCAAACAACCAAGCATATGCCAAAACAGTATAGTTCAAGTATTCATTCACTTACTTATTTTGCTAAGTCGTTATATTTCCTATTATCTTATATTGAATGTTGAGAAGTTTTGTTTGTCTGAACAAATAATCCCACGCTCCACTGTGACTGTGCGAAGATCTAAATAAAGACCTATTCACTACTTGTCTGGTTTCTTCTATCAATATCACGTCGGGCTCATCAGTTTCATGCCTACAGGTAACCCTCCTTCTATGTATATGTATATTCAGATTGTTCAATTGTCGTTATTACGTAACGTACGTTTGTCACTGGATCAGTAATGTAAAATATGTATACACAACTTAAATGTAACTTATCAAAATCCCTAATAATCTAATCGGTCAGACTGTCTTTGAATAAAAATCTTTAAACCTGAATAAATGATTATATAACCCATCAAAATTGAGAAAACACCAGTCACTACTACAAGTACAAATACGTCCACATGGTTAACAAAATACATTAGCTAATTAATGTTTACTATCAGAATACTCACAGACGTCTGCTGAACTTTTACACATTGACACTATACATCTGAGTTTGATTCGTAAATGCTACGGTTGTGATTCAACTAAGAAGGTTTTGAAATGTTATGGGCCAAAAAAATATTTGTAAAACTTTCTTTATGATATCTTATATGTGCGTTAGTTTTCCGAATAGTCATCATTAAACAATAAATTTTTGATAGTTGAGATCATTGGTCAATTGAGGCTAGACCACCATGGAAAACCCATAAACAATGAACGGCCATTCCGACATATTGTGGGGCTTCTCAACAGTGCACACCCACAATCCCGCCTCGCGAGATTTCAACGCAGGGCCTGTCGGTCACGCGCGCGAACGCTTAACCTCTAAACCACTGAACTTGCCGGCATCCAACGGTGTTAATATCTAACTTCAACTAATCCATGAAATAAATTCTTGTTTAAAATTGTTGATTATCACTTTGATTTATGTATATGTCACACAATTGAAGAAAATACTACTCAGTGGTTTCCTTCCTACTTTAAAAATCAGTTCTTATGGATATTCCTTGCCGTTTTTAAATATCGAATAAACAAAGACTGGATATACAAGTACTTGGCTCAAGATCAACATCACAGTCTCTTATAGATATTACCTATTACCATCGAAATAACTACATCTATGAATTTGATGTTCATCTTGCTATGTTAATGTGGTGAGGTAACTTGAACAGATGCATATATGTACCTGGTTCCACGTTGTAGCTGACTGGCCGACTACCTACAAACTGGAAAATTTTTCAAAAATCTTATAAACTATGATTTTTATTGACGACCATGTCTGATAAGAAAATAAGGGATCTTAAATGAAGCCAGCAAAGAGTACAAGAAATTACACAAGCGCGAATCTATGTTAATACTACAAATTGTAATTTATACTGTACAGTAGGTAGATAGTATGAAGACTTAAGATACGCATAATAGGACGTTTCTTCATCAACATTTATAATAATAGTCAAACTTAGCGCCAAATCAGTATGTTATAATAAGTCTTGCAACTTTCAATTTTCATAATCTTACTTCTTTCTTATTGAACAATCGGTTACATTCATCACATGTTCATAAATTTTGACAGATATTTCTTATCAGTATAGGGATGTGGAGATTACTAGACTTTTGGTTGTGATCATGAACCTAATGATTTTAGACCACCATTGAAAACCTGGAAGGACTGGACAGTCGTTTCGTCCTACTGCGGGACTCCTCAGCAGCGCTCATCCCCGATCCCCCTTGCGGGATCCATACCCAGAGCCTTCAGAATCGCGCGCGAAAGCTTAACCTCTAGACAGCTGACACGGTGTCCAACGGTGTTTAATCAAGATGTTTATTCAAATGAATTCATTGTTTCAGTTAATTTTAACCGATTTATCTTCATAGTGGAGATAACTTGTTGCTCATGTGGCTGATTTTGATGGAGTTTTGTTCTCTGAGCTGGATGGTTTGATCGTGGAGCTTTCATCGTTCTTCTGAACGACATCATCAGCACAAACTTCAGGTAAACTGATGATATCGTTCAGAAGAACGATGAAAGCTCCACGACCAAACCATCCAATTTGGAGAATAAAACTACGTCAATATTTATCTTTACCTACAATCCATTTTTGCATGATTTCAGACCAATATTTATTCGTTCACCATTAAATAAAATTGATTCACAAGGATATGTTTTTCAACCAAAAATAGACACCAGTAACGACTTTTCTGTTGATAATGATGTTCAAGACATAAAAATTAAAACTAAAGGTAAGTCTTCTTTCCAATGCTACTAATAAAATAACCTGAATTATTAGTAAACCAGTCTTTATCCATATTTATACACCATTAGATTGATTGTAAAAGTTTTAAAAAACATTGTTTAATAGTTAAATTTATGAGTCAATTGAAGCTAGATCACTATGGAAAACCTGAAAAGACTGGACGGCCTTTGAATGCCTACTCAGTGGTCTAGAAATTAGGCGTTCGCGCACGTGAACGATAGGTCTTGGTTTCAAATCGTGGATGTACATTGATGAGGAGTCCCGCAATAGGACGAAACGGCCGTCCAGTACCTCCAGGTTTTCCATGGTGGTCTAGCTTCAATTGCCTTATGAATTCAACTTTTAAATTACTAGAATCTCTGTGAAGCCACTCTCTGAAAAACATTATTGCTTGTTTTACATTTTTCCAAATAAAGATTTCAGATAAAACTTGATTATCAGAATGGGTTTTGTGGAGATTTTAGAAATTTTACAGACTGAAATCATGAGTCAATTGAAGCTAGACCACCATGGAAAACCTGGAAGCACTGGACGGCCGTTTCGTGCTAGTATTGAACTCCTCAGCAGTGCACATCCACAACACCGCACCCCACGAGACTCTAACCCAGGACCTATCGATATCGCGCCAGGCGCTTAATCAACTGGATCATCGCTCCCAAATGCCCTGGTATGGCCGAGAGTGGGTAGAGTCCGCTCGCCCTCTTGAAATGCTCTCACACGGCCACGCGTTTACAGCCTCTGCCAGGGAAGTCCTACTCACTGCCTTCTCGTGGTGGAGGTGTTGGTAACGAAATTGAGAGGACGAAAATCGAATGTCCGGCGCTTTAACCGGATTCCAAACCAAATCAGTGGTGCACATGGGCTCCAGTATCCTGGGGGAACGAATGGAGTATGAACCAATCTTTAGTCACCGGCTACGATGGGACTGCATCTCCTCACGATGCTCCACTGCCTTGTGGGTCAGGCCTTCAGGTCAAAGGCTCAGGGTGTTGTTGCCTAGGAAAACCACCTGCTTCGGTTTGGGCACCCGGGCAATATCACAGCCCTCACGCAAATCAAATGATTTATGTGGCTCATACATACTTGGTGCTTCCTTGTACCAACGTTTATGTGTTTAAATAAATAAATAAACTAGACCATCGAGCCGGCACCCAACGGTGTTAATGCCTAACTTCGACTAATCCAAGTAGTTGCGCCACCGTACACCATTGTCTTCAGTGAGTTGATATCTCACAACAGACCTGGTTGAACTCCACTGGTAACGGCTTCTCACTAGAACTCCAGGAGTATCTCATGGATGCGCACTGCTAAGAAGTCCCATACTAGAACGAAACGGCCGTCCAGTGCTTCCAGGTTTTCCATGGTGGTCTAGCTTCAATTGACTCATGATTTCAATCTGTGAAAAGTTGATTAGGTCAGAAACAAAAGGATTACATATCCAGACGATAAATCTATAAATAATGACAATCATGAGTAACTAATCTAAAAACCATTTGACAATCAATTATGTTAATCAAATAATTGCAAACTTTAGTTTCATCTTGTTATAACATGTGACATTGTGTCCCTATCAGTATAGAGCGTAATTTTACCACCAATTAGAGAACAGTGAATTATCAACCACAAAAATGACCCATAAACCTCATAGTCTAGAGACTTTATCGGTCCTACGTGTTGCCTAGACCTTCCTGTTAAGTCCAGAACACCAATCTCAGCCGTGAACGAGAACACAAGTGGTGATATACGAACGTATATGAACACAAATTACAGTATATCTTAGTAAAATTTGGGAGTCATACAGTGAATACTTCATTTGCAAAATGTCAATCATCTCAAAATTGGAATTTCTTTGAAAATATCATTCAGTCATCTCAAACTTCATTGTTACTGCATTTTTATATCAATCGGTTTTTGTTCGCGTTCTTTCCCCGTTGATCTTCATGACCTTCTGCTGCCAGACATTCTATTCCTGACTACTTATGTCAATACAAATAGCACACATCACAATATGAATCATGTATTACACACCAAACAGTCCGCATCAAACTATAAAATAGAAAATACACATTTGTACCAGATCTAGCCAAAAGTGTCTGTGAATGTTGGAGACTGTAATTAATAGACTGGGCATACATCAAGAATGGTAAATCATATAATAATAGTTCATAGGTCAAAATAAAGCTTATAACAAGAGAAACATGAATATGCATAGTTTAGTTACCTAATAACTATACAATAAGAATATATATATAGTATTAGTCCATAAATGGATACTAACAGTTGTCATCGTTGATCGTGATCAACATAGATCATAGATATCTATGATCTATTTTCATAGATTTTATGGAAGATCTATAACTTTGTACTAAAGACTATATTAATTAACTATCTTTATATGTTTTTAACGTAATTCATCAACTCATAATTAATGACGATTATATTCACCTAATAGATCCATTTCAAATCGTTTCCTTTTTGATACTTCATAGAACAAAAATATGATATGGTTTTAGAAATTTTATTAACACGAACAAATGCTCAACGCCAACAAATCGCATTTCATTATAACAAAATCTTTAAAACTGTAAGTTTTAAAATGTTTGTCCACCCTTTTTTTATTAAATGTTTTGTACTCACACCTCCTTTTCTATGTTTCTCAAGAGAAATGAAGTACTATTTAATCGGCCATGGTACAGTCAAGATTGGGGAGGGTCAGCTCTATTTCTTGATATGCTCTCAAATTGCCACGTGCAGACAGCCACTGACAGGGAAGTTCTACTTACTGCCTTCTCGCACCATGGATGTTGTTTACGAAATTGAGAGGATGAAAAGCAAATGTCCGGCTGTTTAACCGGTTTAGTGGACACGGTGAGTCTATCTAGAGGAGTCGGAAAACCCTGACTGCAAACCAATGGTGTCCAGTATCCTGAAGGAATAAATGGGATATGAACCAACCGTTGATCACTGGCTACCATGTGACTTCATTTCCTTAAGTTGCTCCACTCCCTTGTGGATTAGACATTTAGATCGAAGGTCCCGGGTGTAACCCCCTAAGAAAACTACGTGCTTGAGTTCGGGCACCCAGAAAGTATCCCATCCCTCATAGAAATCGAAGGATTTATGTGTTGCATATCTACTTGGTGCCTCCTTGTATCAATGTTTATGCTTTTAAATAAATAAATACATAAATTTATGAATGCATTTCGAGAGTAGTAAGTAAATATTTGTCGACCAAGATTTTCAAAGGTTTATATTTTTCACATTTATCAAGGTTAATATACATTTACTACATTAAGGACAATGTTTAAACTATACTCTTCGTAAACATACTATACCTTCTACTTGTATTATCGATTTTTATTAATGTATATCTGATATAAGATAAACATGTATTACATTATATACAAAGATGGATAGTGGATAACAGTGGAATCCAGGACGCGCGTTGCGTCTGATTTGAGACTCGTGAGGTGAATGATAGCAAGTGGCTATCAGGACTCAGTAGCTAAGTGGATAACGCGATGGTCTACTGGTTAAGCGCTCGCACGCAAGGCAAGGTCGTGGATGCACACTGCTGAGGAGCCCCATCCTAGGGCAAAACAGCTGTTCAGTGCTTCCAAGTTTTCCATGGTGGTCTAGCTTCAATTGGCTCATGATCTCAACTACTGAAATAAATATTAATCTTGCTGAACTATGAACACCGGGGGGAGGTGTTTAATGAGCTTTACATATTTTATTCAATCTGAATGCACAAATTCAATACTTGATTTCATATTCCTTTTACATTAATATTCTTAACTTCACTTTGTTTTCTTTATTATTTAGTCATTAATGAATGAAATGAACAATGCGAAACCGAATAATTTGAAACTATTACTTCAAGATCTATTAACAGATACATCAATTTTATTTGCTGAAGAATTGTATAAGGCAATATATACATCAAATTTACAAATAACATCTGGTTTATTGATGGATTTCTGGGAAAATGAATTTAATCAAGTGGAAAATATTTATAAATTATGTTAGTAATACAGTAGAAATTATCATAATTACTTAATTACTTACGCCTGTTACTCCCAGTGGAGCATAGAACGCAGACAAGCTTTCTACAACCCATTCTGTCCTGAGCCCTCTTTTCTAGTTCTATCCAATTGTTATTCATTCTTCTCATGTCTATCTCCATTTCTCGGCCTAATGTGTCCTTTGATCTTGCTCTCCTCCTTTGGCCTTGAGGATTCCAAGTGAGGGTTTGCTTCGTGACGGGTTGGGTGCTTTCCTCAATGCGTGTCCTATCCACTTCCAGCACTTCTTCCTGATCTCTTCCTCCGCTGGGATCTGGTTTGTTTTCTCCCATAGTAGGTTGTTGCTAATAGTGTCTGGTTAACAGATCCGAAATATTTTGCGTAAACAATTGTTAATAAACGCTTGTATCTTCTGGATGATGGCTTTCGTAGTTCTCCTGGTTTCCGCCCCATACAGTAGAACGGACTTGACATTTGTATTGAAGATGCTGACCTTGGTGTTGGTTGACATGTGTTTTGAGTTCCAAATGTTCTTCAATTGTGGATTTGCTGCATCAGACCCACTGTGTTCATCATTGATGCTGGCCAGATATGTAAAGGTTTTTGCATCTTAGAAAACTTCTCCGTCAAGTGTGATTCGATTGGTGCATGCTGTGATGTATCAAAGAATCTTGCTTTTCCCTTCGTGTATGTTGAGACCTACTGCTGCTGAGACTGCTGCTATACTGGTCGGCTTCTCCTGCATTTGTTGTTGTGTGCGCGATGAAAAAGCCAGGTCGTCTGCGAAGTCTAGACCATCCAGTTGCATCCTAGCTGTCCACTGTATCGCATGCTTCCCTACGGATGTTGACATCACCAGCAGAAATAGGGTAGGTGAGAGTAAAAAATCTTGTCTGATACCGGTCTTTACTTCAAACGAGCTTGTGAGCTGTTCTCCATTCACGATTTTGCAGTTTAATCTATCATAGGGATTCCGTATTATATTGACTCTCTTCTCAGGCACGCCTAGTGTGAAAGAAGCCTCCATAGTGTTTTCTTGTCTACGTTATCAAATTCTTTCTCGTAGTCAGTGAAGTTGATTTAGAGTGATGAATTCCACTCAATTGATGGTTCCATATCACATATTTGTGCAATTCTTAGTAACAATGAAATCTATAACACAATTCTTTCATTTTTAGTTCATCTCAGGTAGATAAACTACGATTTCTGATATTTAAATTCATAAAGATCCTGGAGCATAGCTTAAAGTGAATAAACTCCGTAGCTTAGTGAGTACAGAGTATAAACAAGAGACAGAAACAAAGTCGAATGAATCATATTCTTCTCTTAATTGATTAGTTTTGTCCATGTGTGTACATATTTCATATTAATTGCTTAGATTCGTTTTTAGATCTGATGTATGACTTCACTTCTTTAGTCTATTACAGTTTATATTGCCTAATTAAATATGATAAGAATTCACTGCAACCTACGAAGTACAAGATGGTTTTCAAATTATGCAACTCTTTTTGCTATGTATTCTTGAAAATTGATAAGATGGGATAGATAATTGAAGTGTATCAACTTGATATCACATTAGCTACTGAGTCCTGATAGCCACTCGCTTGTTGAACAACTACTGTTTTCAAATTAATTTATAATTGTTTTATTCATAAGTTGACTACAGTTGAATTAAATACTGGCCATCTGAACTCAGCAAATAAGAGGATAATGTGTTGTCTTTTGAAGCCAAAAGTACCAGGTATGAGTCACAGAATGGGCTTACATATCCAGGTACACTCAGCTGACGAGTCCTAAGACGTCTGGTGTATTCTTGAAAAGTATAGGTCTTAAAAACAAAGAAATGATAGATTTAACTAAATGGACAATCAATACATTATCTTTCCGGTCATCAACATTTTCACTTATTATCATTTTGTTCTGATACTGTAGTTTTAATGATTCAAAATCAATAAATTCAAAAGCCACAGTTCGAAACATTCAATTCTAGTTGATTTCTCAACTGTTTTATGATTAGACTGAATGAATAACCTTCTAGTTTATGTATTCGCCAAAGGAACTTCGTTGAAACATAATGAAAATTTTGTCACTTTAAGTCATATTTGGAACAATGAAAGACTATCATGGTATTCAATTCGTTCTACAGACTTCTCATTTTATTGATAATCATAGTCCAATATAGTGTCGTTTTCGATGGAGTTTTGTCCTCTGAGCTGGATGGTTTGGTAGACGATTGCACTGATGATTTCGTTCAGAAGAATGACAAAAGCTGTACGATCAAACCATCCAGCTCAAAGAACAAAACTATCAAAATCATCCACCTGAGCTACAAATCTCCACCATTTCAAAATCATATGAGCGTAGTACGCTTTTAGTTGTTCAAAAATGGGAGAAATTTGCCAAAAGACAGGCTTTTACTCGAGAACAACTGTATTTTCTCCACGAGTGTCCTCATCAGCATGTTCTACCAGTAATGTCGTTTCCCCGATATTCAAATTCCTTTGTTATATTGGAACACATGGTAAAAAAACTTAGAATAGATTGCTTGATTTTTGACTACATTACAATCTAATGATAACTCATAAATGAGACTAATTTCATTGTAATACTCGGCAATTATAGTCACTTTTAGATAATGTTCGACAGGAGTTCCTCTTTTGTTTAGTTAATAAATGGCGCTCCTCCTCGAGCAGTAACAGGCCTAAGTAAGTAAGTAAGAAGGAAAAAGAAGTTGACATTCTATTTTTCACTGTCTTTTAACATTACAGATTCGAATGAATCAATTTGGAAGACTATAGAAAAACGATTTGGAAAATCTACACAAGAATTTATACAATGTGTAGTTGAAACAAGAAAAGTTAAAATTGAACAACAACTAACAGAAGATGATGTTTTTAAGCCGGTAGTTAATATGAATGAAGTTAGTAAAACATTTCATGTTTTGTTGAAACAAACGAATTCAGTGTAAGTCCATCCTTGTTTCAATATACATGTTAAAGGAATGTATTCACTGTACTAATTTCTTTCCAATTAGTTTCACATCGTGACTTTACATTAATATATATTATCAGAGAGGAGTTTTGTGGATATTACAGTGATTTAATTGTTGAATTCATGAGTCAGCTGAAGGTAGACCACCATGGAAAACCTTGGGGGCACTAGACGGCCATTTCGTCCTAATACAGGACTCCTCACGATCCCGCCCAGCGAGACTCGAACCCAGGACCTATCAGTCTCGCACGCGAGCGCTTAACCAGTGGGCCACTGAGCCGGCACCCAACGGTGTTAATCTCTAACTTCAACCAATCCACGAAGTGAAGCCGCCGCTCGCGAGACTGATAGGTCCTGGGTTCGACTCTCGCGAGGCGGGATCGTGGATGTGCATTGCTGAAGAGTTCCATACTAAAGCGAAAACGCCGTCCAGTGCTTCCAGGTTTTCCATGGTGGTCTAGCTTCAATTGACTCATGATTTCAATCTGTGAAAACCTGATTAGTTCAACAATTAAATTAATATAAATATGATTTACAATAATGAAGTAATACTCATTGAGTGGATTGGATTAATGATATTGGAAGCATTTATTTGAAAATCAAGAAGTTGCTACGTTGCATAATATATAAAAACGAGAAAGAACTAATAGGATATTTTTGATGAATGGTCAGTAGTACGGTAGTTATGTAAGAATCAAGAGACCAATGTTGAGAATAAGTAAAATACAAAAAATGGAAGAAATACGAAAATAGTTTATCAAAGTTCTGCTACAAACTCCCTTATACCAATGGCCAAGGTAGTGAGAGTGATTGTACACACTTATTATAAATGCAAAGGTTAGGTTTGTGATCATTCGTAAACCATGTGGCGAATTTGTTGGAATATGGTGGATAACCTTCAAAGCTTTATTCATTTCAACTTGATGACCTGTGTCCATCAAGTGAGCTAGAATAGTACTCTTAATCACTCTTACCTGTCCTTTGCTTAAACACGACGCATGGTGTTCTGTTATACGATGATGAACTTGCCGAATTGTACGCCCTATATAACTGGCTCCACAGGAGCAGTTGAATCGATAAATACACATGGATTTGGCGAATTCAGGCAATCTGTTTTTATTAGCCGATTTTATTGTGGGGTGGTTGTAAAAGATAGCACTCAGTCTGGCTGCATTAAATATTTTTGTACCGCCCTTCTTAATCTCTGAGTCACAATTTCTTCAGTAGTATCATTTAGGAATTATAATTTTAAAAACAACAATTTCTTTAGAACGGTGGGTATCCTCATTCTACTTTTCATCTCCTTCATGTGGTTGTCAAAGAATTTCGTTGGGTATCCATTTCTACCAAGGAAGTTACGAATGTTAACTAGTTCATCTACAGTGACGTCATCCGAGCAAATCATTCTAGCACGAGGAGTCAGGGTCTTTATCATGTTTTTTTTGTATCTGACTGGTGCTTTACTATAGTGCGATACTGAACTCGCCACAAGCTCCTGTTGAGCCAATTGTATAGGGCGTACAATTCTGCAAGTTCGTCATTCTATAACAGAACACCATCCGTCGTGGTTGATTTATGTTTGCTTTATAAATGAATAAATCAGAAAAGTTTGGTAGCTACCAAATAACCGCTAAATGGATATAGTTCGTGATGCGATACAATAAAATTTAGCTCTCCTTTAGTTAGATTAGTTACACTGAACGTTTCTTAGAAATTCGTTAATCTAAAAATCTAACCAACTATACTAACTATTCAACTGTATGACTAAATCTTACGTAATTCAACTACTATTAGTAAGACTGGATTACCATATAGAGAATGTATATTTCAAGTACATAAATCCTGTATCTAATTGTGAACGTCTTGGATATCTAGTTGACAACCATAATTTCGGTACAATGCCAGGGAGTGGCTAGCAGTAGAATCCAGGACGCGCGTTTCGTCCTATTCGGGGCTCATCAGTTGAACATACCTGCATCTTACAGCTCAAAGTCACTTTTGGATTCAAACCTAGTACCGTTGGCTTCAAACTCTATCGCGTTATCCACTTAGCTACTGAGTCCTGATAGTCACTCGCTTTTGCAATGGGGTGAAGTTTTAAATTCACTTGATGGTATTTACTTGTATCTTTTCATTGTTATTTAGCAACGCAATTGATTAGTAAGTTCTCTGCTGCGAAGTCAATAATACTCAGGACAATAGTCTTCATAGTCATCATTATCTTAGATTGATAACATGTATTTTAACTTCGAAGTAAAACTAAACTGTACATGGTAAATTGTATTGTATATGTGAATTTTACATTATTCATTACATTTTTACTTAGTTCTATAGAAACTCTTTTTTTCTGCTTTACAATTTTGATTTTCTAACTTTATTCTGAATTTTATTGATTTTAGGGAAGATAATCAACAACAGTTAAGTAATCTTCTCTGTAAACTTAATCCATTTCAAATAGACGAATTAGATATGATGTACCAACGAGTGAGTGAACTAACTGATACTATTAACTATTCTCATATAGACATATATATTAGAAAAGTTGTAACAGCTTTGTAAGCAACGATGGATAGTGGTTAACAGTGAAATCCAGGACGTGGCTTTCGTCCTATCTGGGACTCGTCAGCTGGATTTACCTGCATCACAGAGTTGAAGTTGACTCTGAAAGTCGAACTCACTACCGTCCGCTTCAAACGTCATCACGTTATCCTTTTAGCTACTGAGTCCTGATAGTCACCTGTTTGTGCAATGAGGTGAAGTTATATCCATTTGGTATCGTTTTTTTACTTATATCTTCCCATTGTTATTTAGGACTGCAATTATTCAGTCTTTTATTGATATATGTACACCCTGTGCGGACTCTCTCGATATTGCCTGAAGTCACAATCTTCATAAGCAAAGATGGATAGTGGCTAGCAGATAAGAGACTGATCATTTGCAGTCCTAAATAACAATGGTAAGATACAAGTAAACAACACCAAGTTATAACAGCTCCTATATATGATCGTATGTAAGAATTCTGAATTGAATATTTGGAAATAGTATTATTTGTAGTTGATGTGAGATTAAAATCGAATTGTTTTTCTCAATGACGGTGATCTGATTTTGATCTTGGCTTTATTTTATTAAAAGGATTTCAGAAGAGTGTCCTCTGAATTGATTCAACGTAGATCATCTGGTGAAATGCATGATTTATTAATGTCATTGTGTAAGTATTATTTATCTAGTTTTCTTTATGTTTAACCTCAATCTACTTAAATTGTGAATGTGATGAGGTCAATAAAACTGCTATCGGTATACATGTATTAGTTCATTATCAGCTGATTAAACGAATAAAATTCCAACTCAACATTAACGTGTTTATAATTCTTGCTGTGTACCAATGGAAATAAGCAAATGCTGTAATCTCTTTTAGCCAATAAGAATATTTTTTAAAACGATTGTTTACAAGGTTGGAAGGCTAATACGATCATTCTCAGATTGTGCGATTATCCAGGTACCTGAATACTTATCAAGATTAATGTTTATATATATCACATGAAAGGAAATTTCCTACTATGTTTCTACTCGATGATATTCACGTTTTATAGTCGTCTGAAAACTTAAGAACGTTTAAGAAATTAGAGTCAACACAGCCCGAGCTCTCAAGTTTGGGGAAATTTCGGGATATTTTGGGGAAATTCTCGAAGTCAAATGACCTTCACCAATGTTTTGGGAAATATTGGGGGATTTCTCCAGGTCTGAAAAAATTTTAGGGTTTTTGTGCTATTTCCACAAAATTTCCCCAAAGTTTATTGTGAAGGCTTCCCCAATATGCACAGCACAAAACCGTCCTTGGGAAGGGTTACAAAATAGCATACTAAAACACACAACGAATCAACAGCGTTTAAGATTCTCCCAAGTGGGAAACACGATATGAAAGTGAAAAGAGTGATTTGTTGCGAAAACAAAGAAATTCAAATTTTCAAAATAAAATAACAAAATTAGGACCTTTTTCAAGTGAGTTCTAGGGATTTAACGTCCCCAACATTTCTTCATCCCAATGCATTACCTAATGAACATCTGGATTCAGTAGCCAAGTGTATTACGTGTCTATATTTGACCCAAGCGTTACTGAGTTCACGGCAATCCTCACAAGATTCTCATAGCCGAAACCGGACTGATCAATTCTGGTGCTCCAAATCAGTTTTGAATAATCTGGTCACACATGTACTTGTCAGCACATTTAATATAAAGATTAATAAAGGTCATTTAGATAGTGTAATAAGAAGACGAATATTATCAGAACTATATATATTTACATAGTTCTGACAATTTTCGTTTTTTGATGGAATTTCGTTCTCTGAGTTGAATGGTTTGGTCGTGAAGCTTTTATCGTTTTTCTGAACGACATCATCAGCTCAAACTTCAGATAGAAGTGAAGTGTTCGAATATCTCTACATGTGGTTCACAGCTTGTACTGTAGACCTCGATGTTGACTGCTTCTTGTTGACCTTAAACTTGTCATTGTTTACTTCTTTATTTTGGTTTTATCTTCTATTGCTTTGATTTTAATTCCTATGTTTCTCTGCGGAAAGCTCCATGACCAAACCATCAAGCTCGAAAAACAAAACTGCATCAAAATCATCCACCTGAGCTACAGATCTCCACCATTTTAAAACCTTCTTCTTATTATTACACTATCGAAATTTATCAAAGTGACTAATTGCTTTAAAGTTCATTTCATTTCTAGTAAGAATTGCTCATTATTAATCGACTGACTATTCATCTACATCATTTCAGATACTTATTCTGTAACGAAGCCAATGTATTTTGCTACATTAATCCATGATGCACTTTATAAAGAACTTATCGATATGCTAACTGCTCAACGTTTACTTATTTTCCGTTCAGAAGTACGTTTTTGTGGAATAAATGAAATCTTTCCTCGTTATGGTTTATCCATTTTCAGTTTAAATATGTTATAAAGCTAATCATAATATCTTTCAAATAATCTAACCCGTTTTCGAATGTATATACGTAATAAACTCTAGTTATTACTTAATTACGCCTGTTACTCCCAATGGAGCATAAGCCGCCTTACCAGCATTCTGCAACCTGCCAGAAGCCGCATGGGGTTACTGCTGGTCCCGAACCCGTATAAAAGAGGAGGGTTGTGCATGGGGTTAACGACACCATCCCGTAGAAAACTAACTCGCTAAAAAACGCTAACCAGAAAAAAATAATTCAAATAATTTAAACTCTGCTTCAGGGAGTTAGAAGGTTTTCATTTAGAAGTGTTATGACGCCTCATGATGAAAACCGAGGCTGATGTTCATTCTGGCAACCAGAGCAACCATTAATTTAGGTCCATGAAATGCTCGTACAATGTTGGAGACCGAGAAAGTCTTCCAAATTACTACAGAAATGAAGAGATATAACCTGAAGGTGCTTGGAATCAGTGAAACTCTAGTTATGTGTTGAGTTAACTTATATCTAACTAGGTCGATATGAATCACAATGGGGGGAGTTGTCTGACGTGTTAATTTTTTCTTGGATTGTGCTTACTTACAAATCATTATTCTAAAATGCGAAACGATGGTATATCAGACGCATTATTAGCTTTAGAAATGTGATCATTGTGTTTACATTGCGTTGGATCATTCATTCTTAATTGTAATGTGAAATGTATGCACTAGTTTTAAATAGAAAAACGTTCAGTAAAGCCTACTAATAGATTTGAGTTCAAGAATTATTAAAATCTGTCAGCACAGCAGTTCTAGGTAGGATACATGAATAATCGTATTCAACTACGTCTGGTGTAAGACAGTTATCTACATCAGGCAACGGGAGATAGAAGCACGATTCGGTGAACTGACTGAAGTTGAATATTAAAACCACTAGATTTTAGCTGAGTGGTCTACATGGATTAAGGGTTTATATATTAAACCAAGAGTCCTGAGTTCTATTTCTTTTGAGGAGCTTATGATTGCACAGTGCTTCCATATTTCAAACGTTTATGATTTAGAAACTACGGAAAATCTATGATCGTCACAAAACCTTATCAAGATGGAATTATTGAACAAGAAGGTAGTCAAATAATCATGCATTCAAATGAATGAAAGCTTTTGAATTATCTTTTATCAAGGTAGGAAAAATGTATCAACATATTTTCAGGTTACTGATGGCTGTGATTATTCTCTTTAGCAAATTTTAGAGAACCATAATTTATCTATACTTAGATATTTCAAGGTATCGATGCAATATCTTTTTTACAATGAGTGTTTACGGATTGCACTATACAAAGTCCTTTCTTCTCTCTAGACGAAGAAATAATCAAAACGTTTATCATTATTATGAGTTTCTCTCTGATTCATAAAGTGATCTTGGTAGGTGGATAACAACTGGCGGTCACCGAAGGAGGTACTTCAAAGATGGGAATTATCAACCCTAGATTGAGTAATTAATCACATTATTTCATTGAGGAATCATAGTTTGTTTGCAGGGTTTTATCTAAATATGAATCGACATGATGTATAGAATCTTTGTTTCTTTTTCTCACATTCCTTCCTCACTATCCATTTGACGAAAAGTCTAAAACGTATTCCTAAATTATAATTCATTAATAATGATATTTCAGATTGATTTACAAACAGTATGTGATCTATATGAAGCAGAATATGGAATCTATTTGGCAGATGATGTAAAACAGAAGTATTTCAATAAACAAGATAATGCTTTGACAAATCTTTTAAAGACACAAAAATCAATTGTCTTTTAATCTTCAAAGTACTTGTCCCTTCAATGGAATTTTTGTTAAACATCATGCTGTTCTTTTTAAATCTCCATAATGATTTCTGAAAAACAGAATGATTTAAATAACTTAACAGTAATTCGCTTTAACTAACTTATTCATTCTGGAATCTTGTGTTGTTATGTTAAACAATCCAAATTATAATTAGAACAAGTGATTAACGACACTCAATGCTAACTTTTCATGTTTATTTGTTGTACGACATAGAATGATGCATAATATAACAGTTAAAGAAACTAGTTTGTTTTGTACAATGGATGTGCCTGACACTTTTCGTTTGAGATATATCTTTGTATGTTGATTACGGTTTTCATTTTGTCACACATAATCTACTAATGAATAAACTCTCTAAGTAAACTGTAGTTGGCTCTAATTACTGTAGGTAAGATAGGAACCATGAGCACAAGACATGTGGATTATGAACAAATTACTGTTGTGTATAATATTATTTCAGTTAGTGGACGAACCAATCAGATATAAGATAAAAGGTCTTGGATTTTGGCGCAAAATTCATTCATCCATTTGGTCAAAGAGCGTTTTCGGTATTTTGGCTGATGTCAGTTCGTGATGAAAACCACAAATCTAGTTCATAACCCTTAACCATCAACATTAAATCTTAGTTATAGTTCCTCACCATATTTTATAACCCTCGTTTGGTCCTAGTTAGTATGTGGTGTTCTCAAGGTCACTTTGGAGTCGCTCAACGGTCGTCCAGAGATTAAAGTCTCACCTAGGATGGCAAAAAGAAATAATCAACGTACTATAGTGATGCTTAACATTTTGTAATGCTTGTAGTCTCAAAAGCATTTGAATGGATTATAAGAACTATGGTACTCTTGTCAAAAACTGATAAATATATCCATAAAAAGTACTGTTTTATACAATAAATTCCACAGTTGATAAATAAATGTTATGGTCTCATATAAAATAGAAAATGTTGTGGAATGATTGAAAATGGATTTGAAGGCAATCTGTTTTGAAGTTCAAATTTTACCACACTTTGAATATTTATATCAAATGTTTTAGTGTACGATAAACTAATAAAATGAAACTGCAAAGTTGTTTAACAACGAATACAATTACTTACTAAGTTATTATATGAATGAGTTTAATGTTTATGTATATACTGTATTGCTTACTTACACAAGTTACTCCCAATGTAGCATAGAACGCAGACAAGCTTTCTACAACCCATTCTGTCCTGAGCCCTCTTTTCTAGTTCTATCCAATTGTTATTCATTCTTCTCATGTCTATCTCCATTTCTCGGCCTAATGTGTCCTTTGATCCTGCTCTCCTCCTTTGGCCTTGAGGATTCCAAGTGAGGGTTTGCCTTATGACGCGGTTGGGTGCTTTCATCAATGCGTGTCCTATCCACTTCCAGCACTTCTTCCTGATTTCTTCCAGGTATCCTTCCCTACAGTTTATTGGTACTTGTTCTTCATCCCAAATCATGCTGAAGAGAATGTGGGATACCTCTGCAGTTACTGCTACATCTGCTTTGCTGGTCCCGCTGCTTTTCAACTTTAGATTTGACTGATGGTCATGCTTCATGAAATATGAATAAATATTTAGATGTTAGGGTACATAATAATGTATCGTTAAGATGTTTTTAAATAGTGATTATCAAACACTGATAATGATTTAACTTGAGTTTTGGAAGACCTTTTACAATTATCATAAGATTTGGAGATCTTTTATTATCACTGCCTCACAGTTACTGGTGACTTTACAGTCATGTATTATAATACTAATAGGAACGAAACTTTCTAAATTCTGACTTCTTAGCTGATCTCTAAACTTTAGAGATAGAAGATTGTTGTAAACAGAAAGTCAGATTCGGAAACTGGCTTGATTCAAAAGTTGATTAATCCTCCAGGAACAAAGAGTATGTACAAAATTACTAATGGTATCCTTAGACTTGCTGATATTCTTAGAAAACAAAGAGTATAAATAGTAATGTTTCTTGCATCTGACCAATCAAATTGTGGTTCCTGTATTTTTTACTGAATTGGAAATAATAATTTAATAATGTTATGTGATCGTTTGTCAAATGAACTTCATCAATTTGAAAGTTTCCACCATGCCGTAGATGATTGGTAGGTTGCCAACATAAATTTAGACAGTATTGAATTGTCCTGTATTTAAATCCAGTTAGATCGTATGATGATTGTTGTCGGAATATGCACTACGGCTACTCACATACATAATTATCTGCTTAAGTCATGTTAGACAATAACGAAATAAGCCAATTGCGAGAATGAATTTCGAACACATGTTTTTCTGACGGTAGCTCTTCTAGGGTTACTACCGGTCCTCAGCTCGGGTAAAAGAGGAAGGCTGAGCATGAAGCCAGCAACTAAATCCTATAGAAAACAACCTTGCTAAAAAGACGTTATTCAGAATATATAATTTACATCATTTAAAATCGATCCTCCGAATTGAATGATCTTCACTCATAAGAAATATGACACCTCGTGGTGGAAGCCGAGATTCTTCGGAAGTCATGATGACAATCCCTCTTCTAAAAACCAGAGCAATAATAACTATGCCTACATGAAACGTCCGGGAAATGTGGAACGCCGTGAGGACTAATCAAATAGCTACGGAAGTGAGGAGATAAAACTTGACGGTTCTCGGACTCGGTGAAACACATTGAACCTAACCTGAACAAAATGTTAGGTACGGGAGAGATGCTGTTGCACTGTAGTCACGAAGTAGGAAATGTAGAGCAGACTCAGAGCATCCATCGAAACAAAGAAGGAAGGAATCATAATGAATGTTATCCTCTGTTATGCACCCACCAATGACAACGAGGAAGACGATAAATTCAAAGAAAGGTTGCAGTCAATCATAGAGAGGTCCCAAGGAAAAATATGACCATCCTGATTGATGGTCTAAACACTAAAGTAAGAATGGACGGCAACGATTATGAAGGCATCATGTGACGAAATGAACTGGGAGAGAGTAATCATTATGGTGTCAGATTTGCAAGTTTATGTGCCTCAATATATTGGTTATATGTGGCACAATATTTTCACACAAACACATACACAAAGCTACATGGGTCTGGCCGGATCACACTACAGAGAACCAGGAGGATTATATAGGCATCAGTAAAAACTTCAGAAGGATAACTGAAGAACTGGGAACCAGGAGAGGTGCTGACATAGTTTCAGATCACCACCTGGTGGTTTACAAACTGAAACATTAGCTGACAAAGGATCAAATCAACGGAGATATAACATCACAATGGTTTATTACCGCATCCATTTGAGATACTGACAAACTCAACGAATTTAAAATAGGTTTCAACCGCAAGTTTCAAGCCTCACAACATCTCAGTGAAGAAGAAACTACTGTGTGTTATGCTCTTATGTCTTGTTGACTATAGCATGACCAAATCGCCAATTAAAACATCGACGTACATGACCTCAGCACTGTTCTTAATCAATGACACGTTAACTAATACCAGCAGCCTAGAGTCAACTCTGAGCACCTTTTGCCTCTTCTTGCCTTGACCTGCTCGTTATGTCCAGAACACAATCTCAGCTTCCACTGTATAAATCGTAAACTTCAGACGAACGTGGCTTATATACAGGCAAACAGGATCACATCATACCATAAAATAAAAGATAATAATTGTACAAGATCAAGCTGAAAGTGGCTGTGATTGTGAGATTGTAATTAATACATAAGGAATAACTTTTGAATAGTAAATCGTATATTAATAGTCAATAGGTCAACCGAAAGCTTATGATGAAAGGAATATGAACATACATATAACACAGTTACTTAACAGTGGTCCAATAGTATTATATGTAATATTATTCCATAAATAATTCTTCACAGTTACCGCCCATTTATTCTTTGTTCGGATACAATGCTGTGGAGGATAACTGGAAGTGAATAAGATAAGGACTTACTTCAAAGTGAAGAGAGATGTCGGGACGCAAAAAACATTATAATAAGGGATGGATCTTTACGGAATGGACGGTCATCAATCAAATGAGGGGATACGTAAACAAAGATGAGATCCTCCATGAGCCGAAACATGGGTTGAGAAAAGACGAGACGTGAGCATCCAGTCTTCTCACAATATACGACAAATGTAGAGCATATTGGAGTCAGAGAGCACCGGTCCATGTAATTTTCCTGAAATTGGTAAAAGTGTTTGACGGTGTTGCACATAGTATTCATTTAAAACGTGACGAGTTTACGTTTAACTGATTCATTTCTGTCTTGGCTCTGTAGCTATCTAGTACACAGGACGTTGAATGCGTACCGGCTTTTTGCGCCTCATGAATTGGAGTCCACAGAAGATCGTTGTAGGTCCACTCTCGATTCTGATCTCTATCCATAACCTAGATAAAACGATCTCTGTAGCGCCTATGCGCGCAAGTTACGCGGAGATATGGAAGTACATACAAGACGAAATGGGTTCCTTTGGACTCCTAAAAGGCCTAGTTGGATTAAGGCATTGGTCTATCTATATAAAAATGCCACAAGTAATTGGAATTTGATAACGTAAAACCAAAAGTCGGAAGCAAAGAGGTCTGAAGGTATATTTGATAGGCTATCGATAAATCAAGTAGTGATCAATCTAAACTGGCTAGCGGTCGTAGGAGATGTGAAGCAAGGTGTACCCAATCGTGATCTGGTGCGGATGCGTGACCAAGCGCTCCCAGCTAGGCGAGTTCATTAAAACTAATGTGGTCAGCAGAGCTATTGATTTTGGATATTTATCACTACACATCTGTGCTAACATAATAATAAACTGTACCAAAATTAAGAGCTTTCTATCATATGGTGTGTACCACTAATGTCGACAGATATAAACATTATTTAGCACTAACCAGGAGTAGAATTCTTGGTGCCAGAAAGTTAGGTGGATCGACTTAAAGAAAACAGAAAGGAAAATAGAAGAGCATTGTGAATTGGAAGAATCATACAAAATGTGAAGGATATG